CGCCCCGCCGGCCGCGGCCGCCGCGGCCCCCAGCAGCCCTGCCGCGGCGCCGGCCGCGGCGCCCGGCGCCGACGGCACCCAGCGCAGCAGGCCCGGCAGCTCCCCGGCATGGCCCATCTCCCGGAAAAGTCTCTGATTCGCAGGGCTGCCCCTGAGCAGGCTGTTGGCCAGCTCCAACGCATCCTGCACCAGCACGCCGCCCCCGCACGGCCCGCCCTCCTCGCGGGCCAGCGCCAGCAGCCGCTCAAACGCGCCCTCGAATGCGGCTATCTTCCCCACCTCCTCGCATCCGCCGCACAGGCCGACCAGCAGCAGCAGCGCCTCGTTGCGCAGCACCTCCATGCCACTGCCGAGCAGGTCCATGAGGCGCACCACGCCCATGGGGACCGACAGCGCCGCGGCCTGGACGCGGCCAGGGGCGGCGGACAGCAGCGCTGACAGGGCCTGCAGCGCGTGGTACCTGCGCAGGGCAGTGGGAGGCAATGGTTGCGGCGGTGGGTTTGCTTTTGATGTGCGGGGGAGGGGGGGAGCGCACTTGGGTGTTGAGTTGGCTCCGGGCCGCGCAATGTCAAGGGGCAGGACGGCGCGCACCGCCAGGCGGGCGTGCTCGCACGGGCTGATCGTGGTGTGGGTGTGTGTGTGTGTGGGGGGGAGATGCGGCGGCTGCCACAACTGCGATTGCCGCAATCGTTGCTGCCACCACCCAGAGGAGATGGGGCTCCTGCAGTGTCGCCAGCGGCCTGGGCCCCGAGCCCCCATCCGCCACCAGCCGCGCCCCGGCCACAACACGGCAGTCTCGCAGCATCGATCCCATGGCCGCCCCGGTGGCGGCCCTCTGGCACGCTGACAGCCGCACCGCCCGACGCCAGATGGCAGCCGTGCTGCGGGGGCCTCACCTGCAATAGAAGTCGTCCACCCCCACGGGCTCGTCCTCCAGCAGAGACAGCAGCAGCCGCACGTTGTCTGGCGACCGCGCAAACAGCTCCGCATTCATAACTCCGGGGGGCGGGGGGCCCTGAGAAGAGAAGGGGTGGCGGGGCTGGTGGCGTTGAGCACGCCCCAGGGGTTGAAGCAGGCAGAGTGCCCGTGAACCTTGCGTGATTGAGGTGCAGCTGGCTCGCTGGAAACAAGCGCAGCAGCTTCAGCGCCGCTGCTGCCACAAAGCCAGCGCTGGGGGGAATGGTGTGCAATCCACGGCCAAGTCCCACGAGACTCACCTCGCCCCGCGCCGCCGCCCGTGCCGCCGGCGTCCCGCCGCCGCTGGCGCGGCCGCCCTCCCCGCCGCCGAAGCTGAGCGCGAGGGCCTCCAGTGCCGTGCGGGTGAGTTCTGTGTCATCTCGGTCCTCGGTGACGACGGCCAGCAGCACTGGCAGGCCCATCACCCCCACGGCCTGCTGGGCCTGTAAGTAACCCATCCAGGGAGTGTTTCTTTAGGACAGGTGGGGCGTTGAGCCCGTAAGCAGGCTGCTGCCGTGTGCGGGGACCGGGGGTTGGAGAGGATGGGGGTCGACCCTGCTGCCGCCACACCAACACCCCGAAGCAGCCGTCTGCAGGCTGGCCGATAGCGGCATGTGGGCAAACGCATCGCTTTACGACACCGGCAGGCGAGCTGTCGAAGCACGACCGCTGCGGCGGGGAGCGGGGCCCCGTACCTGTGGGCTGTCTTGCAGCATGTCCCGCAGCCGCGCCAGCGCGTCGCGCCGCTCCGCGGCGTGCCGCGACTCCGACACGCGCTGCAGCAGCGCCTCGACCTCCGAGTCGTCATCATCGCGTGATGTGGGGCCGCCAGCCCCTACAGTGTTACCGTGCATGCAGTGTTAGGTCAGCAGGGAGGTTGGGCATAAGGGCGATGCATCCGCGCTCATGTGCCCGCAGCAGCTGCTGCAGCAGCGGCAACAGCACTGCGACGACGCGGCACAGCTGGGGATATTGAAGCAGAACGGTCGGCTCCGAGCTGTAGATGGATCAAGTATTGATATCAATCAAACCAAATATCCAACATGCTCGCGAGCTGTCAGTACGACGGAGCTTACCGTGGGATCCAAACAGAGTTTTCAGCATCGCAAGGCTGGGGTGTCACCGCAGAATAGGGCTATTAGAAACTCCATGACAGATCAATCATTATGTGCGGTACACACCGCTCGTTTGAAGGATCACTTCTCAGTTGGTCTAACGATGCCGCATGATCTGCACCGCTGGGCGCCGCTTCGCATCC